TTCTCCTCTCCTCTGTTTCCCTTGTGTCTACTTTCACCTCTGCCATTTGGACTTGGGATGCATTACTGATGAGTCAACAAATTACTTTCAACCAGGGAACTAACAGAAATAACACAATTTTTTACTCATTTGGGGCATTCCTTGGTCACCTGATACCGTGGATGCCATTCTGGGTGCTTACTGTTTGTTGATATGCTGATAAAACAAACCAAAGATTTCATTTCAAAGACAAAATAAAATTAAGCTTGACATGGAAAATACATAGTATATATGAGGTCAGGGTAATAAAAGGTTAATTTGACATTTAGAGGATTAAAAACAAGAGAGAACATGGAAGCTCTTGATGCCAACTATACCCTTCAGGTGTAGAGATTCAAAACAACTTTCTTTCCTTAGGACACACAGAGTTGGACTATAATGCCATTTTACTGAAGGTTATAAATAAACACATCAAAAAAACACCTTTGCATTTTGCTGTTTGTATGGAGGCTGACCACTTTCCTGCCCATGTATCTATAAATAAGCTGGAATCATCTGAACTTGCCAATGAGAAGGTAACTAAACGATCACTGGCAGTCACGTGGGTTTGCTAAGGGTCTAGTCTAACACTGTTAAATCTCATCTCATGGACATTCTGGAAAATTGAACTTTAAGGCACTGAAATGTATTTTATAGAAAGGTGAATTTTGCAGACTCTACCAGGATACATTTCCCTATAAAATGAATCTCTCTGAAACTTCCTTTGTACTGTTTAGACAGTTAATCTGACAGCTTGAATTGAGGCTTAAAATAGCCATATTTTGTACCTATAATACTCCTTATGAAAATCTATCCTAAGGAAATAACCTTAGGATAGATTTTAAAAGATTAACAAGTAGAATGTTCATTACACAATAATTCTACAGGGAAAAAAAAGAAAATAATCCAAATGTCTAATATTAGATAAGTGGTTAAATATATAACGTTCATGTATGGTAAGCCTATGCTGTCATTAAAAATCATGTGCATTTTTAAAAGTATGTATAAGTCCAAGGAACGTTCTATACAAAATTACTCTAACTAAGTTATCCAGACTTTTTAAAATGCACATATACAAATAGAAAATAAAAGACTGGTACATGATGACCACCATTAATATTTTGATATGCTTCTCCTTGATGGAATTCTGGGGTTTTTTCCATTTTAAAGAAATTTCCCCAATTTTCCTGATGACCTAAAGAATGATTGATTTAATTTTAAAAAGTCATTTGCCAGTTTTCTTGCTCACCCACCTTTCCTTTATGCCAGTACCTAACTTAAGAGCCATCTAAAAAAGGAAGTTGCAAAGATGATGAGGAATTAAAGGGAGGGCTAGCCTCTATTCACTCTGCAGCACATATTATTTTGATTTTTGCAAATACAATATCTTGACCCAAGGCAATCAAAAGCAAACAAATAAAAAAAGCAAACAAAATCAGTATTTCTAGGAGCACGATGACTTGCTGCATTTAAACTGTGGTTGGAGAACGGCTTCACATTTCAGGAATCATGGAAGCTTCAAACGAATGTCATTATCAGTGATGGCCTTTTAAAAGCGATGGGAAGAAAATAGTCCATTTAAAGTACAGAAGCAGCTTTGCAATGGCCCTACTGTGCAATCACAGGGGAAGGCACAAGCCTTGCGAGATGTTTACACATTGTTGGAATCTGAGGTATTCAAACCTGCCATCACAAAGCCACTGTCATTTATTATAGCATCCTGGTTCCGGGTACTCTGCTGAGCAGAAAGGAGCATTACAAGAAAACAAGGGGAAGGGGGATTTGAAAGACTCAAATTAAAATCCGAGTTTAGAAAAGACTTCATTAACAAAATAGAAAAATTAAAGGTACTATGAAAGATTCCTGTGTCACTGGAATTCAGCTAGCTCAGACATCCTTAGTGGATTTCTAGCTAAATCCCCATAGCTCTAAGGACTTAATTAGAAATCCACTTTCTGCCTGCCAGTAACTTCAAGTAGTGTTTGCTTTGTGAGCTGGGCAAGTAACTTAACCTTTCTGAGTCTCAGTTTGTTATCTCTAAAACGGGCATGATAATAGCACCTAAACTCGTGGGTGGCTAAGAGCAGGTAAATAATTTATCACAATATGTGCAATGTTTAAAAAATAAAATAAGAATCAGTTCTCCTAATAGTCACTATTTTAGAGTATTCATGCAATCTGATCTCTCAAAACTATAAATGCTTGAAAATTAAGAGTAGTACATCTCTCCTTAATTGTAGCTGTACTTGAAGGAAAAACAGCTACCTTTACAGGCTGTTCAAGCTTTAAGATCTTATAAAATGATCTAATATCTATTTAATTATGACTGACAAGCTGCTACTAGATGCAGGAGGTTACACTGCACAAACGTTCCACTCTACGTGATGATGAATAGTAACCCCAGAGTCAAAGCTATTAGCTGAAGTTTTTCACCCAATCTCAGCGCAATTTTAACCACATGTGTTTGGTGTGTGTGTGTGTGTGCATGTGTGTGTAAGACATGCATGAGTGTGTATATGTAACTTTCCTATCTTTACTAGCTTTTGTGGAGAGACTACACTGAAATAATAATGCTAATGACACAGTGATTTTTCTGAGGTTGGGTATTTCTCCAATGCTCACGTATCTTCTGTTTCTTTCCTTCCCCTAGGGACAGGACATAGGTGGGTCTTAGCTTGCCAGAGATAATATGGAGAATGTCTGTTTTCTGGATTTTTACTGACTGTTGCTATTGGTAGCAACTTAGTATTGGGAGCAACTTTTTTGAATTTCGTCTCCTCCTAACCCACCTGTCACTCAATCCTGAGGCAAGCCACCCACGCCTGACTTTTTTTTGTCCTCCCAGGCAAGATGAAGTACTTCCATATCAGTGAATAGGTAGAAACAGTTTTCTGAACCATTCTGGTTGCCACTATCAAACGCCGGCTCAAATCACATAGGATATTAACCAGAGTGAGTCAAGGGGACTTCAAGAAAGTCAGGATGAGGGGCTTCCCTGGTGGCGCAGTGGTTGCGAGTCCGCCTGCCGATGTAGGGAACACGGGTTCGTGCCCCGGTCCGCGAGGATCCCACATGCCGCGGAGCGGCTGGGCCCGCGAGCCATGGCCGTTGAGCCTGCGCGTCTGGAGCCTGTGCTCCGCAACGGGAGAGGCCACAACAGTGAGACGCCCGCGTACCGCAAAAAAAAATGAAGTCAGGATGAGAATTTGTCTCTTACTGACTGCTACTTAGACATTCCTAAGCCACAGCGGCCCCAGGAAAGCTTCTCAGTTTGACTATAGAGGTTGCATGGGAAAAAAATATTTTGATAAAATCACCTGTTTGGATAGAGAAGGTTGGATAACCCTCTACTCACATAGTGGCACAAAAGCTTCGAATTTGTAGGAAGATGGTATAAATGAAGGTAGGAGAAAACAATGTGTGTGTGTGTGTGTGTGTGTGTGTGTGTGTGTGTGTGTGTATGTATATGCATATATATACTCATTCATTAATTATTTGTGTAGGTATGTATTGCTCACCAGAACATTGCTTGCCCTACTCTCATTTATGGTATCTTCATACAAAGCAGAAAGCATTAGGTCACTATATTGCAGTGGACATGGGTGAAAGTGAACCCCGGGGCAGCCTCACTGCTACCACCACCACTACCGCATGGTTCTTTGACTCCGTATTTCAGCCTCTCCCGTCTTCTCACAAAACGTTGACTTTTTTCTCTCTCCTTAATATGTTGAGATATGAACATTTTCATTGCTGTGCATAAGAAAATGAGATTCAAAGTGGGGAACCTAAGTGGTAAAAATATGCATTTTTTAATATTGGACTCAGTAAAGGTATCATTTTAAAGAGAGAAACGTATGGCTCTAAACCTGTTCCGTGTGTGCATTGCCTCTTATTGAAGACATGGGTGATTGACACGGAGCTGGAGGGCTCTCAGCATCTTTTCTTCATTGATATGGAATGATTCTGAGAGGCAGGCCCAAGAACCAGAAGTTAAGAATTTCTCTTTTTTTCTATGCTTCCAGAACTGATAACAATCTAATAAATACAATTAGGAAGGTGAAACCCCTAAATCAGGATTTAGAAAACCAGAATGGCAGAAAGGACATCAATGATTACAAGAGAAAATTTCATAGCAAAAACATATGGCTAAATGAGAAAAGTAAAGAATACTTATCAACTCCAAGGAGAAGGAAATTGTGAGCAAAGTTTTTGAAAGCAAACTGCTATCCTGAATTTTATTGTTTAAAAAAAGCAAATCTTGATAAGTAGAATTACATTAGTTATGTGGGACAGCCAAAAGATGTGACTGGTTTAATAAAAAGAAGGGTTTCTTTACAGTGTATCGGCTTAGCCGGTGAATCCCCCCGTTTTTTACTCATTTGTTTATATTTGAAATTTCATAGCCAATCAGTGTGAACTTTGCTATTCTAATAGGACTTTTTTTCCAGAGTCATTGAGATCTCTATACAATTACTCTCCCTCTTTGATCCTAAACCCCATAGCCAGGAAAGCTTGTTTGTATTCTATTTAGAAAGTGGGCATTTAATTAGTGCCACTTCTGTAAACACACCGTGTTTAAACTGATTACACTTGTTACACCTCACCTCCAACTACACCTGTAGCAACTAAATCACTCTTCCTCATCAGCTATCATTTATGTCTCGTTAGCATCAAGAGGAAATGAAAAGAAGTCACACCCATTTAATTTCATCTCAGGACTTTTAAGTTTAGTTCCTGTACTGATGGTGCTTATTTGTAAAACAGGACATTATAAAAAGATGAGTGATTAAGTCATGTTATATAAGGTGATCAGAGCACATTGTTACAGTTTTCTATGTCATAAGCATATTTCAAGCATAATCCCTGGAAGAACTGCATTCAAACTCGGCATCACATCATGTTGTGTTGTTGTATCGTTTCCTGGAGGAGATTACTAACTAAGATTTTCCCCCTCTTTTTTCTTTTCTGAATATTCCTGGCAGGTACTAAGCACAAAACGATGCTAGAAGCTCGGAACGGCAGTGGGACTATCAAAGCCTTCCCTAGGGTAGGTGTGAAAGGCAAAGGACCAGTGAATAAGGGGAATACAGGCCTGCAGAACAAAACGTTTCACTGTGAAATCTGTGATGTGCACGTCAACTCGGAAACACAGCTTAAACAGGTAGGCGGTACCCATTCTAGAAGTGAAAACAGATGGGGGTCATGCACGAGCAGACTGTGTGCTTCCTCTGTTCCCTTTCTTTTCTGTTTTTCTCTCCCATCCAACCATCCATCCATCCATCCATCCATCCGTCCATCCATCCATCCACTTAGCTTCTTATTCACTCTCCTTATTTATTTATGCATATTTTGGTTGGTTAAAGGAATACTAAAATGTAATGGCTTCTAAGATCTTTCTGAAATTGCCTGAAGTGAGTCTGTGCTATTTTTGTATATGAAGAGTGGGAGGAAAGGGGGTAGTAGATCTTTTCTTTACCAGGTTTCCCACTCAAAAGTGTTGATTTCCTTTAAAGGTCAAATTTCAATGTTCCATTTTTACTTGTTTAGATATTTACATGCTACCACTAATTTTATGCTGTGCTCTTCTTTTATTTTATGTACTCTATTACATGGTGGTGTACTGTATTTCTAAATCCTGCAGCCACCTGCTAACAAGATGACTAATCCTGTTGCATTCACTTTTACTCTGAATAGCCTTCCAAAGAGATCAGTTCTACGTTTCTAGTTGAAGTCCCAGCCCTCATATAGTGTTGTGTTTTATATGCAGACGTACATTCTTGCACTGATTTTTACACACCTTAGTTATTTATCTTTAGAATTTAAGGAGTTGACATTTGGCTGTACAAATGTGAGGATAAATATTAGTATGGAAATAAATTCATGCCCGCCTGGCCATCTTTGTTTATTTGCACATAAAATTCCTTCAGACATTTATTTCCTTTGTAAATGTCCATAAAACAAGATCTATGCAGTAATAAGGAAAAATGCTGGGAAAAAGAAGACCCTGCTATTTGTTTAAAATAGACTAAAACGGCTAGCACAAAGGTATCTCTCCTCAAAGCATCAGCGTCTGAGGACAAAAGTGCACGCTCTTGTATTTTTGTATTTCTTCAACTTGCATGAAATAATTAATATCCTGCCCCAGGTTAAAACAATATTTATGAAGGGTTTGGGGGATAATTTTTTTAAAGCTGTCATTTTTAATTGCTTTTAATAGCATATTAGCAGTAGAAGGCACAAAGACAGAGCTGCTGGGAAGCCCCCGAAACCTAAATACAGTCCTTACAACAAACTGCAGAAGGCAGCACATCCGCTGGGGGTGAGTGTCCTTTTTGCTTCCCAATAGAGAGTAGCCTTTCTTTCTTTTTTTTATTTAATAAATTTATTTATTTGTCTATATTTTATTTTTGGCTGCATTGGGTCTTCGTTGCTGCACACAGGCTTTCTCTAGTTGTGGTGAGCGGGGGCTACTCATGGTTGCGGAACGTGGGCTTCTCACTGCGGTGGCCTCTCTTGTTGTGGAGCATGGGCTCTAGGTGCCCGGGCTTCAGTAGTTGTGGCACGCAGGCTCAGTAGTTGTGGCACACGGGCTTCATTGCTCCGTGGCATGTGGGATCTTCCCGGACCAGGGCTCCAAACCGTGTCCCCTGCATTGGCAGGAGGATCCTTAGCCACTGTACCACTAGGGAAGCCTGAGAATAGCCTTTCATGTCCTGCAGTCTACTCACTGAACTTGGATTTTTTTTTGTCAGTTACTAAATGAAATGAATGGAAGATACCTAAGTAAAGACAAACAACTGATTTGAAAGTCCAACTCCTACTCCACCAACAGAATCATTGGTTTCGTGAGTTGTTTGAGTGTTTTGTCACCATTAGCCAAAGTCCGACGTCTTATCTTTTTAGTTGGGCACAGGTTTACAGCAGAGCATGGGGGTAGGAGGAAAACCAAACTCTTTTGTGTCAGGTAGGTAATCGCATGAAATCTGGACTTGAGGTTAGTGGATACTATTAGGAAAAGGTCAGTGAAAACAAATTCTTGCATCTCCTTTTTAAGGTCTTCAGGAGACAAAGCACCAGTATTGTTGATTCCCTCAACAATTTTGTCTTTTGAATAACACACTCTCAAAGACATGGCTCCTTTTAAAAATTATTCACCTAAGGACACTATCTAAGGCCTGGGAAATATTTCCTGAGACATGCCCTCTTGTTTTAGATTAGTAAACATATTAGTACTGATGTCCTGGCCTAGAATTTTTGTAGGATTTTAGGGGAAGTCTGTAAACCTCCTGACATCTTAAGCTAATATTTATAAGCATATGCTTTTGTTCTGGTTGAAATGATGATAGCTTACATCTAAGAGACCCAGGGCTCTGCATTGTTTAGCTGTAATAAACCATAACTGTGTGCATAAAAAAATTAAGATGAAGAACAATTGATCTACAGTATGTGCTGAATTATGCATTTTGAAATCTGTTTTCTTCAAAATAGATCTTATTAATAATCAGTGCTACTGTGTGCTGCTGACACGTGAAAATACAGTTAAAGGAAAACTGTAGTCATCCATTATGAGACCTCAGAATGAGTTGACCCAATTAATTTTGTAGCATCACCCATTTTTATGCAAATGAAGTCATTTTACTCTCTTGCATAGAATCAATTTTAGCTGCATTGAGTGGCTGTGAATTCTGCATGGAACTGATGTTTCAGCACCACTAGTCATAACCTGAGTGCTCTTTCTGACCTACGTAGATGAAGCTTTCAACAATCAAGTGAATGGTTCTTAAATAAACAGAGAAGTCAAATTGTGTTAATGTTAGCTTCCAAACCTCCTGTTTAACTGTCACTGTTACTATTTCCATAAACGGGACCATTCCCTTCCTGAGAACAGCCATCTTACTAATGCTACTAGTCAGAGAATGAACTGATTTTATATAGTAGGTTTGGGAGAATGTTGCTACCAATGAAAGCAAAACATGTCAAACTTTTAGGGAAGATAAGTTTTCTTTGCTTCTTTATTGAAAGTGGAATTTCATTATTTTTATAATGTCTCTTGATTGGTACTCACATCTTACTAGGATACTCACTTGACATACTTGCATAGTCTAATAGTAGCTGACAGCATTAATTAATCTCTCTTTAAAAATGTCTATACCCTGCTAGTTAAAATGTGTGTAAAGAGTGCAGTAAAAAATTCCCTGTTTTTTCTCAAGATGAATACTTTCCACACGAAGTATATTTATCACAAAAATAAAATAGAGAGCTGGAACTCCTGGCTTGGGGTCTCTTCCCTCCGCCATCACTAAACTGCCCTGGAGCCCAAAGGGAGGGTGGCCTCACTGAGGCTGCCAGCTCTGGAAGGGCCCCAGCAGCCAAAACTGCAGCAGTCCTGGGGACCATGGGCCGGATCACTCATCCTGGGGTAAGCCAGCTGCCATGTCATGAGGACACTCAAGCAGCCCTAAGGAGAGATCCATGTAGCAATGAACTGAGGCCTCCTACCTAGAGTCACATGACCGTGTAGATGACAGGCTTTTGGCACTCCAGCCAGGCATGAGGGCTGTACCTCTGAGGTGGGAGAGCCAAGTTCAGGACAGTGGTCCACAAGAGACCTCCCAGCTCCACATAATATCAAATGACGAAAATCTCCCAGAGATCTCCATCTCGACACCAAGACCCAGCTCCACTCAACGACCAGCAAGCTACAGTGCTGGACACCCTATGCCAAACAACTAGCAAGACAGGAACACAAACCCATCCTTTAGCACAGAAACTGTCTAAAATCATAAAAAAGCCACAGACACCCCAAAACACACCGCCGGACATGGACCTGCCCACCAGAAAGACAAGATCCAGCCTTATCCACCAGAACACAGGCACTAGTCCCCTCCACCAGGAAGCCAACACAACCCACTGAACCAATCTTAGCCACTGGGGACAGACACCAAAAACAATGGGAACTAGGAACCTGCAGCCTGCAAAAAGGAGACCCCCAAACACAGTAAGTTAAGCAAAATGAGAAGACAGAAAAACACACAGCAGACAAAGGAGCAAGATAAAAACCCACCAGACCTAACAAAAGAAGAGGAAATAGGCAGTCTACCTGAAAAAGAATTCAGAATAATGATAGTAAAGATGATCCAAAATCTTGGAAATAGAATGGACAAAATACAGGAAATGTTTAACAAGGACTTAGGAGAACTAAAGAGCAAACAAACAGTGATGAACAACACAATAAATGAAATTAAAAATTCGTTAGAAGGGATCAATAGCAGAATAACTGAGGCAGAAGAACAGGTAAGTGACCTGGAAGATAAAATAGTGGAAATGACTACTGCAGAGCAGAATAAAGAAAAAAGAATGAAGAGAATTGAGGACAGTCTCAGAGACATCTGGAACAACATTAAACGCACCAACATTCAAATTATAGGGCTCTCAGAGGAAGAAGAGAAAAAGAAAGGGACTGAGAAAATATTTCAAGAGATTATAGTTGAAAACGTCCCTAATATGGGAAAGGAAATAGATAATCAAGTCTAGAAAGTGCAGAGAGTCCCATACAGGATAAATCCAAGGAGAAACATGCCAAGACACATATTAATCAAACTATCAAAAATTAAATACAAAGAAAAAATATTAAAAGCAGCAAGGGAAAAACATCAAATAACACACAAGGGAATCCCCATAAGGTTAACAGCTGATCTCTCAGCAGAAACTCTGCAAGCCAGAAGGGACTGGCAGGACATATTTAAAGTGACGAAAGGGGAAAACCTACAATCAAGATTACTCTGCCCAGCAAGGACCTCATGCAGATTTGACTGAGAAATTGAAACCTTAACAGACAAGCAAAGCTAAGAGAATTCAGCATCACCAACCCAGCTTTACAACAAATGCTAAAGGAACTTCTCTAAACAGAAAACACAAGAGAAGTAAAAGACCTACAATAACAAACCCAAAACAATTAAGAAAATGGTAATAGGAACATGCATATCAATAATTACCTTAAATGTAAATGGATTAATTACTCCCACCAAAAGACATAGAATGGTTAAATGGATACAAAAACAAGAGCAGTATATATGCTGCCTACAAGAGACCCACCTCAGACCTAAGGACACATACAGACTGAAAGTGAGGGGATGGAAAAAGATATTCCATGCAAATGGAAATCAAAAGAAAGCTGGAGTAGCAATTCTCATATCAGACAAAATAGACTTTAAAACAAAGACTATTATGAGAGACAAAGAAGGACATTACATAATGATCAAGGGATCAATCCAAGAAGAAGATATAACAACTGTAAATATTTCTGCACCCAACATAGGAGCACCTCAATACATAAGGCAAATACTAACAGCCATAAAAGGGGAAATCGACAGTAACACAATCATAGTAGGGGACTTTAACACCCCACTTTCACCATTGGACAGATCACCCAAAATGAAATTAAATAAGGAAACAGAAGCTTTAAATGATACATTAAACAAGATGGACTTAATTAATATTTATAGGACATTCCATACAAAAACAACAGAATACACTTTCTTCTCAAGTGCTCATGGAACATTCTTCCGGATAGATCATATTTTGGGTCACAAATCAAGCCTTGGTAAATTTAAGAAAATTGAAATCAGATCAAGTATCTTTTCTGACCACAATGCTGTAAGACTAAATATCAATTACAGGAAAAAAGCTGTAAAAAATAAAACCACATGGAGGCTAAACAATACACTACTTAATAACCAAGAGATCAGTGAAGAAATCAAAGAGGAAATCAAACAAATCTAGAAACAAATGACAATGAAACACGATGATCCATAACCTATGGGATGCAGCAAAAGCAGTTCTAAGAGGGAATTTTATAGCAATACAATCCTACCTTAAGAAACAAGAAATATCTCAAATAAACAACCTAACCTTACACCTAAAGCAATTAGAGAAAGAAGAACAAAAAACCCCCCAAAGTTAGCAGAAGGAAAGATATCATAAAAATCAGATCAGACATAAATGAAAAAGAAATGAAGGAAACTGTAGCAAAGGTCAATAAAACTAAAAGCTGGTTCTTTGAGAAGATAAACAAAAATGATAAACCATTAGCCAGACTCATCAAGAAAAAAAAGAGAGAAGACTCAAATCAATGGAATTAGAAATGAAAAAAGGAGAAGTAACAATTGACACTGCAGAAATACAAAGCATCAAGAGAGATTACTTCAAGCACCTATATGCCAATAAAATGGACAACCGGGAAGAAACGGACAAATTCATAGAAACGCACAACCTTCCGAGATTGAACCAGGAGGAAATACAAAATATGAACAGACCAATCACAAGCACTGAAATTGAAACTGTGATTTAAAATCTTTCAAAAAAACAAAAGCCGAGGACCAGATGGCTTCACAGGCAAATTCTATCAAACATTTAGAGAAGAGCTAACACCTATCCTTCTCAAACTCTTCCAAAATATAGCAGACGGAGGAATGCTCCCAAACTCATTCTACGAGGCCACCATCACCCTGATACCAAAACCAGACAAAATGTCACAAAGAAAGAAATTTATAGGCCAGTATCACTGATGAACATAGACGCAAAAATCCTCAACAAAATACTAGCAAACAGAATTCAACAGCACATTAAAAGAATCATACAACATGATCAAGTGGGGTTTATCCCAGGAATGCAAGGATTCTTAAATATATGCAAATCAATCAATGTGATACACCTTATCAAAAAATTGAAGGAGAAAAACCATATGATCAACTCAATAGGTGAAGAGAAAATGTTCGACAAAATTCAACACCCATTTATGATAAAAAAAAACCTCCAGAAAGTAGGCTTAGAGGGAACTTTCCTCAACATAATAAAGGCCATATATGACAAACCCACAGCCAACATTGTCCTCAATGGTGAAAAACTGAAACCATTTCCACTAAGATCAGGAACAAGACAAGGTTGCCCACTCTCACCACTGTTATTCAACATCGTTTTGGAAGTTTTAGCCACAGCAATCAGTGAAGAAAAAGATATAAAAGGAATCCAAATCGGAAAGGAAGAAGTAAAGCTGTCATTGTGTGCAGATGACATGACACTATACATAGAGAATCCTAAAGATGCTACCAGAAAACTACTAGAGCTAATCAATGAATTTGGTAAAGTAGCAGGATACAAAATTAGTGCACAGATCTCTGGCATTCTTATACACTAATGATGAAAATCAGAAAGTGAAATTAAGAAAACACTCCCATTTACCATTGCAACAAAAAGAATAAAATATCTAGGAATAAACCTACCTAAGGAGAAAAAAGACCTGTATGCAGAAAATTATAAGACACTGATGAAAGAAATTAAAGATGATACAAAAAGATGGAGAGATATACCATGTCCTTGGATTGGAAGAATCAACATTATGAAAATGACTTTACTACCCAAAGCAATCTACAGATTTAATGCAATCCCTATCAAACTACCACTGGCATTTTTCACAGAACTAGAACAAAAAATTTCACAATTTGCATGGAAAAACAAAAGACCCTGAATAGTGAAAGCACTCTTGAGAAAGAAAAACGGAGCTGGAGGAATCAGGCTCCCTGACTTCAGACTATACTACAAAGCTACAGTAATCAAGACAGTATGGTACTGGCACAAAAACAGGAATATAGATCAATGGAATAGGATAGAAAGCCCAGAGATAAACCCATGCACATATGGACACCTTATCTTTGATAAAGGAGGCAAGAATACACAGTGGAGAAAGGACAGCCTCTTCAATAAGTGGTGCTGGGAAAACTGGACAGCTACATGTAAAATAATGAAATTAGAACATTCCCTAACACCATACACAAAAATAAACTCAAAATGGATTAAATACCTAAATGTAAGGCCAGACACTATCAAACTCTTAGAGGAAAATGTAGGCAGAACACTCTAGGACATAAATCACAGCAAGATCCTTTTTGACCCACCTCCTAGAGAAATGGAAATAAAAACAAAAATATACAAATGAAACCTAATGAAACTTAAAAGCTTTTGCACAACAAAGGAAACCATAAACAAAACGAAAAGGCAACCCTCAGAATGGGAGAAAATATTTGCAAATGAAGCAATTTACAAAGGATTATTCTCCAGAATTTACAAGCAGCTCATGCAGCTCAAGATCAAAAAAACAAACACCCCAATCCAAAAATGCAGAGAAGACGTAAATAGACATTTCTCCAAAGAAGATATTCAGATTGCCAACAAACACATGAAAGAATGCTCAACATCATTAATCATTAGAGAAATGCAAATCAAAACTACAATGATGTATCACCTCACACCTTTCAGAATTGCCATCATCAAAAAATCTACAAACAATAAATGCTGGAGAGGGTGTGGAGTAAAGGGAACCCTGTTGCACTGTTGGTGGGAATGTAAATTGATGCAGCCACTATGGAGAACAGTATGGAGGTTTCTTAAAAAATTTAAAATAGAACTACCATATGACCCAATAATCCCACTACTGGACATATTCCCTGAGAAAACCATAATTCAAAAAGAGTCATGTACCACAATGTTCATTGCAGCTCTATTTACAATAGCCAGGACATGGAAGCAGCCTAAGTGTCCATCAACAGGTGAATGGATAAAGAAGATATGGCACATATATACAATGGAATATTACTCAGCCATAAGAAGAAACGAAATTGAATTATTTGTAGTGAGGTGGATGGACCTAGAGTCTGTCATACAGAGTGAAGTAAGTCAGAAAGAGAAAAACAAATACGGTATGCTAACACATATATATGGAATCTAAAAAAAAAAAAAAAGGTCATGAAGGACCTAGGGGCAAGACGGGAATAAAGACGCAGATTTCCTGGAGAATGGACTTGAGTATAGGGGGAGGGGGAAGGGTAAGCTGGACAAAGTGAGAGAGTGGCGTGGACATATATACACTACCAAACGTAAAATAGATAGCTGGTGGGAAGCAGCCGCATAGCACAGGGAGATCAGCTCGGTGCTTTGTGACCACCTAGAGGGGTGGGATAGGGAGGGTGGGAGGGAGGGAGACGCAAGACGGAAGAGATATGGGGACCTATGAATATGTATAACTGATTCACTTTGTTATAAAGCAGAAAGTAACACACCATTGTAAAGAAATTATACTCCAGTAAGGATGTTAAAAAAATAAAATAAAATAAAGTACTTTCCTGGAGGACTTTGTAATATCATAGGTCAAGCCATTTTCTGGGATCTTCCAATTTTCCCAAAAGGAAAGATGTTCTACACTTTACATTATTTTTTAAAATTTATTTTATTGAAATACAGTTGATTTACAATGGTGTGTTAATTTCTGCTGTAAAACAAAGTGATTCAGTTATATATAT